GGGCAGGACAGAGCGCAGCAGCCGACCTCGAGGACACAACGGGGGGCGGGGGGCAAGTCACGAGGCCACGGCCGCACTTCCCGGCGACGCCACGCAGCCCCGCGTTCCCAGCAAAACCCCGCACGGAGAGCTGTAGCCCCCGATTGTCTCCCAGACCCCCCGAGTTACGAGTGAGGAGCCCTGCCGACACCTGAGCCAAGAGCGAGACCAGCACCCGGACCCCGCAGCGCAGGGGTGACGAGCTCGGCCGCGGAACAGAGCAGAACAGAGCCGGGTGCACAGAACACGGACGGGAGGGTCCCCCGAGGGCCTGACCGCCTGCGTCTGCCCCTTGCCAGGCCGGCGTCTCCGGAGGCCGAGCTCGGGGCAGGGGGGCGCCCCCCGGCAGGGCGGGCAGAGGGACGGTCCTCACAGTGCAAGTGGGGCCCCAAACCGCCTTTTCTGACGCTGCCCACGGAGACGTCCGAGAATCCACATGCACACGGGTAAGGCCGGTTTTACAATCACAACGTGCGAAAGATGGCTCTTGTTTTCATGATCACGTCTGCAACGCTTTACTTTCAAAGTAAGGTCGCAGACCCTGGCCGCCATAAATCAAAACGCGAAGATGCATAAGCCCGTGGCCACACGCCGCTGTGGGCGTCCCACCGCACAGCGGCCACACGACGGACCCACGCGGGGGCCCGCCAGGGGCGCCGCTGCTCCCGGGCTGGAGCCACTGGGCGTGGCGGCCTCCTCGTCCACGGCCCCTGAGGTGTGGTGACGCCTGTGACTCGTGCGCTGTCCTTCCGCGGCCGCGCTGATTGCGGGATGTTCGCCACGTGAGCTACGGAGGGCTTACTTCACTGGTTTACTGCGGACAAACGGCGGCACAGTGAAGGCCAAGCTCACGGAGGCAGACCAGGGGGTCCGCGGGCAGGCAGGAGCCGAGCGGGTGAGCGGGCAGAGTCCGGTGCCACCCGCCCAGCGGGTGCGTTTAGGGGAAGGAAGCGAAGGGGAGACGCTCTGTCCACCAGCCCAGGGACACGGCAGAGGCCGCCTGTGGGCGAGGGAGGGGGACTCGCCCTGCCAGCACCCTGGGGCAGAGGGCCCTACCCAGGGGGACCCCGAGGGTGCTCGCTCTGAACGGACAGAGCGATGAGGCCGGGGGCGGGCAGGGGCAGAGGCGACGGGCCAGGTGGGCGAGGCACCCGCTCCGAGGGTCACAGAGGAGACAGGCAGGTGAACCTCGACACCCTCCTCTTCGACAGAAGGAGGTCGGTGAGCCAGGAGGTCTGGACTCCCCCCGAGTGCCGCAAGCCCAGGGGTTTGTTACGGTCGGGGCTGCGGGCAGGGTGCCTCCAGGGTGACCCCCGGATCCGACCTGGCCCACAGGGGTGGGGGCGGCGGCGGCAGGGCCTCAGCCCCGCTGGTCCCAGCTCCCCTTGGGCCTGGAGGCAGGGAGGGCGCAACGGCAGGCCCCTCCCGGGAGAAGCCGAGGGCAGGCCTGCGCCTCACTGCCTTCACGGGGGACACATGCACCGCTACACCGCCCTCCTCCTGCGCCTCACCCCGCTGTGCCGCGTGTGCCGCTGAGGGCCAGCTGTCCCCTCCCCCGAACGCCTTCGCCGGGGTCACTGCCGTCGCAGACGCGTTCCCCTCACACGCCCCGTGCACGTCCGGAAGAGGCCCGCCAGAGCACCCAGGGTGCCAGAGGACGGCCGGCGTGTGGCACGTGCCAGGGGAGCAGACTGGCGCCGCAGCTTGCTGGCACCTAGACCCTCGCAGCAAAGGGGGGCTCCCCCAGGACCAGGAGGAAGGGCAGCCACACGGGCCCCCCCCCCCGAGAGTGAAAGGACGCCAGCAAACACCCAGGTGCATGGGAACGTGGAGCCGCAGGCACCCAGAAGCAGGAAACGCTGCGTTCGGGCCCCTTCCAGCCGCCCTTCCTGCCGCCTCTGTCCCCTGCCCGCCTCTGTCCCCCTGCCCAGTCTTCCTCTCGGTGCCGGTGCCACCTCCCCGGCACCCCGCACCTCGGCAGTTTTTCAAAGCACCCCTCCAAAATGCCGGTGCTCGGGGTCAGCTCTGGGGGAAGGAGCTGCATCACAGTTTAAGTCACATGACGTGTTCGCGTCCGACAGAAGCTGCACTCTTCCTCTGAGAGGGCTCCGTGCTCGGGCGCCACCAGGGAAGACAGCGTTCGCAGCCGCGGATTCGGCCTCCGACGCCGACTCTCGGGCCGGCCGGATAGAACGGCCGGGGGGGCGGCCAGCCCTGGGTGTTCCGGAGTTTCAAGCAGGTCTAGACGCCTGAGCTGTGGTCAGTGGGAGGCTGCCGGCCACCAGCAGTCACGTGTGTGCGCACCGGCCAGTGTGTCTCTTCTGGGGGTGCGGACGCGGCCGAGAGAAGGCGGGGGCACGTCCTCACTTGTCTTTCCACCGGTCTCTCCTGGGTCCGGTCCGCTGCCGGCAAACTACACGGACTCACACTAAAGCCCGAGCTGGGCTGCACGCGAGTGGCCTGAACTCATCATTTTCAGGTGCGTATTCATTCTTCCGGGCTCCCGCCCGATGAAAGGTGACCTAGAACAACCGGCTCACCCCCCGAGCCGGGGCGAGGACCCCGGCACTCCGCACGGCCCCTGACCACCCGCCTGTGGCCGGTTACCGAGCAGGCAGGGCCGCACAGCCCCGGCGCTGCTGGCACGTGGGTCAGAACGCGGTCCCCCGTGCACCGTGGGGTGTGCGCCAGCACCCCGGCCTCGCCTGTGAGATGGCAGCAGCACCCTTCATGGAGCGATGACCACAGACGTCTCCAAGCACTGCCAAACACTCCCTGGGCGGCGAGATCACCCCCGTCTGAGAACCACTGAGTTATAACAGGGTTACAGGAGTGGCCACGGCTGGGAAGGAAAGGTAACCATCCTTTTACGAGGGTTGACACGTGGCCTGAAGTTCAGAACGACCCTCAGTCAGGAGCCCCCACAGCGCTCTGCTGACGGACGCCCGGCAGCCAAGGCCGCAGGGAAAAAACTTGAGTCGGCAACTCAGAACGTGTCTGAGGGGGAAAGAGGTGGGGAGGGGGAAGCCCGCCAGAAACTTCATCTGGGGGAGCCCGCAGTCTTCCAGCCGGGGAGCGGGGTCCGCTGGAGGACCGTGCAGCGGCTGCGACGCCCCTGCAGCTGGTCCGCGCCCGCCCGCCCGGCCAGCACCGCCCAGCACCGCCCAGCAGGCAGAACGCACAGCACAGCGGGCGGGCGGCCGAGGTGCAGCAGCGGGGACAGCCGGGGACCAGCGCTAACCCGAGCAGCATCGGCCCGGACCTCCTGCTCAGTTCAGTTGGGCTGGGTAATGCGAGTGGCTGACAGAGCGTTTAAATTACGGCAGGCCTGAAAAAAACAGTAGCATCGAAGACCTGCATCTTTTTTGCCTGTCGGTACTTTGGCATCTGTAAAGACCCAGCCGCCGCCAAAGCGCGCTCCCTGACCTTTGTCAGCTCAGGTTTGGTGGCAGGGCTTCCTGGGCTTCCGCCTTCCCGAGCGGGTGGCATTCACCAGCTTCCCGACGGACCGAGTTAGCGCCTTAGCTCCCCCCTCCTCTCAGGTAAATGGGCCCCCAAATCCTCCACCTGAAACCCCGGAGGGAAGGGGTGCGGACACATGACCTTCCTAAACATCGATTTGTTGTTCCACTGTATGCATTTGTGCGTCCGTTGGTTGTTTTTCGTATGTGTCCTGACGGTAGATCAAGCCCACAGCCTTGGTGTGTGCGGACGATGGTCTAACCAACGCGGATGCCTGGCCAGGGCCTGGAACGCACAGCTGTCAACGCAGGTGTCTGGCCCGCGCCTGCGGTTACACTATCCTGGGGCCCTGGTCCTCTCACTCCAAACCCCAGCAGCCACGTCCATCCGCCCAGCCCCCACACGCTCCTTCCTCTCTGCCTCGGGGCGGAAGGGGGGGGGGCTCTCACAGTGTGCCCCGGCCAGCACCCCCCGGGGACTCGCGGCAAGTGCGAACGCTCGGCCCCCCTCGAGCCCTAAGGAGTCAGCTACTGGGGCGCGGGGCTCCGCGGTGTGTTGCGGCGCACCCTCGGGTGCTCCCAGAGCAGCCTGCACTCCGCGGCGGACCAGCGACTCCGTGGCGGTGTTTGGTGTTTCCGTGACCACCAACGGATGGTTTCCACAGAACGCAGGCGGCGGACAGAGGTCCCCACGCACCGTGTCCAAAGTCTCCAGCGCCCCTCGGCCCCAAGCGAGCGACACGCTACCCCTTTGGGGAGGCCCCGCTCAGGGTCCCAGAGCGAATCACCGCAGGTGGAAGGGAGAAGTTTCTGCAGTTTTCCTCACTGTTGAAACAAAGGTCTGTCGCATTTTGTTCAGAATCCCCTCCCCCCCTTTTTTTTTCCTGTTTCAGCTTTTGGGCAATTCGGGAGGGTGGGGGAGAAACGGATGGGGAGCGCTGGGTGCCAGCCGCTCGGGTCCTGCCGGATGGGCATTTGAGGGCGCGACTCGGGAAGCCGTGCTTCCAGCAAAGAGCGCCTAACTCGGCCGCGTCCCCCCGGTCCTCCCCCGCGCCCGCGGGGCTGCCGAGTGCTCCGAGAAGAGGTCGGGACCTGGGGCGGGGGACACGCCTCTCCTCACCGCAGGCCTCCGGACGCGACAGGTTGTCGCCCAGACGGGAGCGGGCCGCGCGCCCTGCGGCTCCGAGCCCAGGGGACGGTTTACGGGGAAACTGGCACCCGCAAAGCCCGGGGGGGCGCCTAACCCGACACCGCAGCCGGGCGATGAGGCGGCGGGCGGTGAGCCGGAAACCACCAAGGGCCGCGCGGAAAGAAACCGCAGTCCCACTGGGTCTGAGTAAAGGGCAGTCGGAGCGCGGAGGCTGGAATGGAGTGGAGGAAGAGATGGAAATGGGGGGCTGGAGTGGAGAGGAGGGCGCACCCCAGAAGGCGGAAACGGGGGGCTGGAGTGGAGAGGAGGTGGAGCCCCAGGAGACGGAGGTGGGGGTGGCCAGAACTCACTGTGTGGGTCGCTCTTCTCCCGGACCCCGTCCACTCGGCCGTCGGGGTGGATGCGCAGGAAGAAGCCCCCGTTTTTGCAGTAGAGCCGCTTGGGGTCCTTGAAGTGGCCGGGCGGGAAGGCGCCGCTGCCGCCGTCGTCCGGCAGGGCGGGCAGCGTGGTGATGCTCCCGGCGGCCATGGCCCCACCGGGGCCCTGCCGGGGTCCCCGAGCCCCTGGCGCCGCGCGAGGAGCCGCCGCCCCTCGGCCCCGGCCCCCGACTCGCTCCGAGGCGCGGCCCGGGCCCCGGCCGCGGCCCCGGCCTCGGCCCCCCAGCCTCCCGCCCGGCGGCGCTCGGCCGCGCCCGGGGGCCCCCAGCCTCGAGCTGCTCGTCCCTGCCCTCCCCGCCGGCCCGGGAGCCCGGGTGTGGGGCTCGGAGTCTCCGCGGCCACCACGCTCCGGAGGGCCCGGGGTCCTGTTGCGGCCGCAGGCAGCGCGTCCGCCGCTCTGGCACCGCCGGGCCTCGGCGTCACCACTTCTACATCTCCGCCCCCGACACCCCCACCCCACACGCAGCTCCCCGCCCCCTGCGCGCGCCGCCCCCTGCCCGCTCCGGGGTTTCGGGGCCGGGCGCTCGGGCCGCAGGACGCAGGCGCGCGAGGGCGGCCCGGTGGGGGCCTGAGCGGGGCCGGGGTGGGGAGGTGCGGGGCGTGCGGGGGTTCCACCCGGCACCTCCCCCCGAAGGCGCCCCAGCCCAGGCCTGCGCCGAGAACCACGTCTAGCCCTTCCCCGCACCGCCGAGTTCTAGCGCGCAGCCAGCAGTGACGCAACCTTTAAAAGTTTAGGGGCAACTTGCTACCCCGCTGTCTCTCCGGGCCAGCGTTTCGGGCCGAGGAGCTCTGTCCGCCTCCGCGGAGCGGAGGACTCGGAAGTGGGGGGCGGGGTCCTGTGTCCCAGCAGGTTTTGAACGCGTCTGCCCCGAAAAGAGAGGGCGCCCCCGCGGGACACGAGCCGCTGCGATCCAAGGCCCACGTTGCAGTCATTTACCGAGGAAAGGCGAGGAGGAGGCCGCGGGGCGGGGAGCGGGCTGGGTTGCCAAGAGGAGAGGTTTCCTTTTAGCCAAACCAACTTGAGTGGGGCAACTCGAGGGCGAAGATGGGCCCCAGATCCCTGCCGTGAGGGACGCGCGTGCTCACGTCTGCGTCCTAAACTGGCACCAACCGGAGCTGAGTGGCTGGGCATTTCCCGGACACGGCGCTTGGGCGGAAACCCCGAACTGCGCGGCACTGAAGTTGGTTGCACTCCGGTAGTTTTCGGGGGAACGTAAGAAGCTCTGCGGATTAGCAAGCTATCCGTCCATAAAGCTCGATACGCTGAGAGCCCACCGGCGCAAAGCATTTCGGTAGGTGTGGGGGGACATGCCCAGCCAGGCGGGAGACGCGGAGGGGCATGGACGAGGCCAGTGCCGCCAGGGAGCGCCGAGGCCAGGGGGAGTGAAATGAAGTGAGGTTCCCCCCACGAGGGCTAAGTCAGCTTGGGGGCAGGTGGGGCTAAGGAAAGCTTCTAGGAAGAGGTGAGCACACAGAAATTCGTCTATTGAGGAACATAGGTCGTTTCAAAAGATCACCCACGAGTGCATTTGTTCGCTAGTCTCCAAGAGGGCTCAGCCCCAGACGCGTGTCTGGGGTGTTCGTTAGGAGGGAGAGTGGCTCCCAGCTTTGAAGGCAGGCGTGCTCTGCCCCAGCTAGTCTGTGCTCTGCGAGGCCTCTCTCCAAACGGACAGGTTTTTCCTGCACTGGAGGTCTGTGGAGACCGCTCCCTCCCACGAGGTCTCCGCAGGCATCCCGGGGAGCACTGGCCTGCAGCGCTGGAGGGGGAGAGAGAGGAGCACAATGGGGCCACTATAGCCAGGCTGCTAAGTCACTGAAGTCACGTAGGTCTGGGCGTGAAGGGCCGACTCTGTTCCCGCTTCCACCTTCTGAACTTTCCAGTCCCGGGTCGTCCAACCTCCAGACACCCCCCGACGCCCCCCTGAAGGGCTACGAGGAAGGAAAGTTCCTGCATCCAGAGCGCCTGACCTCCATCACCCAGGCCACCGGCCGTGGGGAGGATCGCCATCTGGGACCAGTCCTGAGGCTAAGCACCCGGAGCGGATTCTTCTCGAGATCGCACTGCTTAATTTATGAGGGGAACTCTTGGCTTTTCTTTCTTGTTTGGAATGCTGTGGGTATCGCCCAGTCGTGTTTCTGTTTGCAAACCCTAGGACCCTGGAATAAATCTTTATCATTTCTTTCTAGCCAGAGAGTCTAGATTCTCTTCCAGTTCATTCAATAGAGAGCCTAGCGATTGCTCACAGAATTAAACGCGCAGTCGCTGTGTGGGGTAGCAAGTCCATTCTAGTGTGCGTACAGAAGACATGCGAACATGTGGGCGCACAACACGTGTGCTTGGGCGGTCGGAGCGGCATCATTCCCAGGAGCCCTGCGTGGAAACAGCCCGAGTGCCGACCAGCTGATGACACCAGATGACGAGAAACAGTGTGCAGCACAGTCAGAGAACGGGTGTTTGGGCAATAAAAAGGCATGACATGCGCATACAGGCAACAACACGTGTGAACCTCAGAGCGGAATGCTAAGTCGAAGAGGCCAGACAGGAAAGCCCATGTAGTGTGTGATTGCATTCACACGACTCTCCGAGACACGCAAGTCCAGGCAGACAGAAGCAGGTCAGGGGTTTCCGGGGGCTGCAAGCGGAGGGAAGGGGGGGGTGACCGCTGATGAGTGTGGGTTGTTTGCGCGTTTGTTTGTTCGTTTCAGGGACGAAAAGCCTCCGGAACTAGATAGTGACGAGTATATTGAAAACACACTGAATCGCATGCTTTAAAATGGTAAATTTTATGGTGCGCAAATTATAACTTAGAAAACTAAAGAAATGCGTGCTGAAATAAAAATAAAATATTCCTCTCATAAAGTTGAGAGGAAAAGAGAGAGAGATGACCAAGGACAAGGTGACCTGGAGACTCATGAGCCACAGACGGCAAATACACTGTCGGGGCATTCGGACGGGCAGTTTAAGAGTGTGCACACCACGTCCTTTAAGGTGCGAAATTAAATATCATTTGACCCAATGTTTCTGATGCCAGAAATTTACCCTAAAGAAAAAAATAAACAAATACATTTAGCAAGCTCGCCTTCCAACACGACATCGATTCTAATGGAGAAAAAAGGAGAGAGAAACCAAATAGCAATAAAAGGTGAAGGAACTAATCTGAACAAATCACGTTCTGCTCCCACTGACTGGTGTGCTGCACATGGCCGCACGCACAGCTCTGTGGGAGCAGGCGCAGCGTGGAGGGCCACTCGCAACACACTGTCAGCCGAGAGAAGCAGCTGGCAAAGCTGTGTCAGTGTCTGTGGTGTCTCCGCACTCCCAAACACCTACTAGAAGGACATCTGTTAAAGTGCTAATCCTGATTCCTTTGGGCGGTGAGATTGTTTTTGTTTTATGAAAATAGCCTCTGGCTGCTCACTATCACAACACATGTCTAAAACTGTACCTTGCCTATCTATTTGTTTTCTTTCTTATTATCAGTCCCCTCTCCCCAGTAGAATACAGGATCGACCTGTTTGTCCTAAACACTGCAGCATCGTCGGGCCCAGAGGCACTGAGCAGGGTGTTGATAATTTTTTTTTAATGCGTGCATGCATTAATTTTGTTTTAAAAAGTTGTCTTTGAAAACCAGGCTCCTCGTCTACGTGACGGTCAGTGATTGTGGGACTCGAGATGTGAATCGTTCTTCTAATGGAGCCTTTTTCCTCGTGACACCCCGCTGAAGTGCACAGGTGACTGTCTTCCCAAACCCAGCACGACGCACTAACCCCATCAGCCCCCGCGCCGTTCCCGTGACGACCGTCCCGCGTGGGCGTGGCGGGGCGGAGACAGCCGGCACCGGATGCTGTGTCCGCCTGCGGTGGGAGGAGGGGCCGCATGTCCGCCTCCCGCCCCGGGGGCAGCAGGTTCCAGTCTCTACAGAAAAATGTTCTGTGAGTGACATCGACTTGGTGTCCTGGGTTTTAAACAACAAACACACAACAAACACACACACAAAAAATTCCTGAAATAGCCAAGGCTTGATTGTGTTACCTTCGGCAATTTTATTTTATTTTTTAAAAGATTTTATTTATTTATTTATTTATTTATTTATTTATTTTTAGAGAGGGAAGGGAGGGAGAAAGAGAGAGAGAGAAACATCAATGTGCGGTTGCTGGGGGCCATGGCCTGCAACCCAGGCATGTACCCTGACTGGGAATCGAACCTGCGATGCCTGGTTTGCAGCCCGCGCTCAATCCACTGAGCTACGCCAGCCAGGGCGGCAATTTTATTTTTAAATATTGTCCGGTTACCCTGACCGGATGCCCGAGCTCCAGTCACTCACCGCCCTCAGGTGTCTGTCCGCGTGACTGCACCGGCCAGGGGACCGGGCTCCTCCTGGGGACCTCGGTGTTGCCTCCCGAGATCCACCACGACGCTCAGAAAAATCGAAACTTCGGGGTGTGTCCCACTCCTCAGCGCCCTCCGGGGCCCCCCCGAGCACCACTGGAAGGCTGGGCAGAGGTTTGTCCTTACACCTCCGCCAGCGGGGGGCGCCAGACGCGGTCGTCCCCATCCCGTGTGCGAGCTGGGTGGGCGGAGCGCGAGTCCAAGGGGCCCAGCGTTCCTCACGTCAGTGCCGTCCAAACACATGATCACCGATGAGAAATCCGTTACACAGGCGGTCCCTAACGGGGGGCCCAGTTATTCCTTAGCCTCTGCCTGACCTGCTCGCGTTACAGAGAGTCTGTCTAATCTCGGTGTCCAGCTGTTCTTCCTTCACGTTAGTGTAAAGGGGCATCTTGACCCTCCGTTCAGAGCACTTGTTCTTTTAACGTGTAAAGATTGGGGAAAAAAACCCAAAACCCCCTGCCTTCTTAAAGCAACCCCTCCGGAAGGGGGAACCCGGGTGCACCTCCGGAACAGGCTGCCCCTTGGTCCCGGGCAGCTGCGCCAGCGAACCCTGCGACCACACACCCCGACCGCGGGGCCCCGCCGCCAGTGCTGCCCTTGCCCTCGACCAAGTCATGAGACGAGTGACACACTGGGAAAACATGCCGTGTCCGCGACGCCCACGTGGCCCTTCCAAATATAGAAGAGGCCTTAAATATCAGTGAGCGGAGGGAGATCCACGGGCCAAGGAGGAAGAACAAGGGGTTCGCAGAAAAGGAAATACGCATAATACACGCAGACAAATACATGCTGTTTGCATACGGCAACCTTTTAGCACACAGGGAAGAACTGTAAAATGTGGACAAAATGCAGATGGAGCCCAGAAGGAGACACAGCGCCCCCCCCCTTAGTGGCCGCAGTCAGGAAGTTCAGCGTGAGAGCCGGACGGAGGCCGCAGGCCCTCCCGCGCCGCCGGCGGGGCTCACGCTGCTGTCGGGGTCACATTCCAAATCCGCGCGCCCTCCAGTCCAGTCCAGCAGCACCCCCCCGCC